TTAACCTATCGGAGAACTCAACAAAGACAAGAACTTGGATTTCTTTCACTGAAAGGTACCATCTCTGCTTGTTGGCTAGTCAGGGAAGGTGAAAGAAGCTGCCCTGTCCTTACCTGGAGGCTTTTGCCTCAAGAGAAAAGTTCAAAAGAAACTGCAAATGAAATCGAAAACCTGAACTTGGTCAGCGAATTGATAATCCTGCTCAGTTTACACACAGTGACACCAACCTTAATGACACAATTTAAAGTCACTGTAAATTTTATACTAAGCCAGAGTGTTTCTTTTTATGCCAGTGGGTTTTCTATCCTTCTCAAATGAAATCTCCTTTTGAGGCACATTGGTAAGACACTGTCACAAAATCGAGCCAAACCAGTACCATGAGTTCATGTATGCAGATTTTAAAACTATGTCATACAGCCTAATTCTACATACCAGTAAGGTGTGCCCACGAAGGAGTTGGCAGGAGAAGCCATTGAGGCAGATCCAAAATCAGCTAGTTTTACCTGACCTGGCTCTGTTAGAAGAATATTTCCTGCTTTAATATCCCTATAGGAAAAAATAAAAGGGTTAGAAAATTACTTTTCAATTTTGATTATGGAATAGGTCAGAGCATGCAATTAATAAGACAAAAAGTTTATTAAAAAACAAAAAACAAAAAAAACACCTTGTTCAGATGGCCAGGAGATTTAGTAATTACTGTATGTCATAAGGGGCCCAGATTCCTGGGGGCACTTGCAGGTAGGTCACAGTAATTACTTAACGGTAGAGCTTTCTTCAGAGGGAGGGAATACAATGAGAAAAAAGGCAGACATGGCGAACAAGGAAACCTATTCAGCTGCTATACTTATAAAAGCATATTCTTAAAGGCTAAATCCAGTTATCAATAGTATTCCCTGTGCTGAGAAAATTGGTGCCAATTGTAACTGCTTTTTCTGCTTTTCCAAATTATGTGACATCTTTGGAGCCTAAACAAACCTGCAGTGATTCCGTATTGACCACCTACTAATAAACCTCAACTACACACATACCTTTTCTTTCTTGCCTGTGACCCTTTCTCTCTGCCTTTAATTGTAACTGCAACTCTAAGGCATTTGAGGTACATGTTATATAGAAGGTGATATTTTAAAAATAACTCTGTACAGTAAAAAGAAGACCCTGAAAGATCAAAACAAACAAGGATTAGGGGTTAGGAAATTGCATGTCTATTGTATTACTACAAAGAATTGCACGTGGTTACTACTAAAGCTAATAGAGGTATTATATAGCAAAAAGTTTGAAAACTCTAATTGAAAAAATTCATTTCTCAGTATGGTAATTGAGAATGAGAAGGTGTGGATGGATTCCTTATTCTTTTAAAAAAAGGCATGAGGTGTAGCGAGCGCTAGAAACCATGAATTGGAAGTTGATGGTCAGTGAAAAGATAAAACAGAGAAGATGAGGAAAATTTATGTCAAGCTGAAAATGATAAGGTTCAAATGCTTCAAAATAACTTTTGTAAAAACTTCCCTTGAAAATTCAGTTTCCTTCCTCATGGTGACATTAGGCATTGGCAGACAGAACTAAAAAAAAATGCATTATTTATTTTTCTTCACAACAGAAACATGTATTTACTTATCTTTAATTAGGAGATTGAATTGCCTTTTAAATCAAAACAATAAAAATCTGAGACATAGTATTTACTTTTAATTTTAAAAAACATTCTTTATAAGTATTTTGACTCTTCAACAAATTATTTTACATACTAAAGAAGATAAAGTATAATAAAGACTAAAACATTAAGTTAATGTCCAGATTAAGGTAATGGCGCAAAAAACTGAACTGTAGCTTTAAATAAGAGCAGGCAAACTAATCACAAGCAAGTTGGCAGTAGTATTAACACCTTGGTACCAAAGACATATATTTACAAAAAGTTGTCAGATCCATAGACATTATGATAATTTTATTTAATCAGTATTTATTAACATGATTAGGTTCACTCTTTGTCCTTCATTCCCAGCAGGATTTCGGTCTGCCTATCTTTAGGAAGTTCTGCTTTTGTGGTACCAGTAAAGTGGTCATGGCTACACTGGGGTGATTAAAACAGAAGCAAAAGAGGAACCATAACCCAATAGTTTCACTTCTTCCTAGTAAATGCCAGTTGTTTTCTTTCATTTGTGAGGCATCTCAGATTCTTTATACCTACCTAATATTCCACTACTACTCCCCTCATTCACTAATGTAACTGTACTAAAAGTTCATTACTGAGAGGAGGAAAGATTGGTAACATCTTTCTCTAGAAGTTAATGGAGGGAGGGAGGTTGCAGGGAGGAGAATGGTGTTGTGGTAGAGAAAATACAAGGCAGAGAAAAGCCCTAGAATAGGAGTTAAGAAACTTGAGTTTCAATCCTTAATATATTACTTAAATTCTGTGAAACTCTGGGCAAGTTAAGTCTTTCTGAGCCCTGGTCTCTTCATCTGCCAAAATACAGTAAGGATAATATCTTCCTAAGTATCCATATGAACTATACAGAAATATGAAATATTTTAAAGTTACAAAATAGCATATATTTATATAAGACTAGCTTGTTATTTGTAATAGGAAGGGACAATAACTCTGCTAAGAGATAAATATATGCAGGGAAGGTTAATTTTCTTTTCTTTTCTTCATGATACAGTATCTAAAGATTGCTGGGCCCCTTTTCAAATTTCCCTGCAACACTTAGCCTGGAGAACAGTTACCTACTGAACAAAGATGATATAATTGTGGATACATAGGAGAGAATAAGAGATAGAAGCTAAATTCTGGCAACTTTATCCTTTATATCCAGAAGCAGCAATCTATTTGCTTCCCATAAATGCTTAGGCAACTTAAATTGGAGCATGCACTAATTTTCAAGGTTCCTGGAATAGACAGTCCTGTAACTGAAATGAAACATAACTGGTCTCTAATTTTACCTATGAATCAATGCATGAGAATGTAGGTAGGCTAGTCCATGCAAGGCTCCATGAGTAATGGCAGCGATCTCCACTTCCTGAAGTGGTTTTTTATGAACTGAGGAAGGGGGGAAAAAAAAAAAGTCAGTAGATGATCAGTTTCATTCCTCATTTTATTATTTTATACAGCTATACCAGACTGAGTTACATACTTTCTCACATGACAATTTGGGAACACATTCACCTAAATATATAGGATACAGATTTTCTATAGAAGAGAATAAGTGATCAGACAACAGGAAACCCAAGTGCATCAACACAAATGACCCTTCAAAACAAAAATAAAACAAAGCCTGATATTCCTTAAATGATGTATTGTTAATTTACTTATCAGTTGCAAGCCAAGTCACACTGATTCCAATTAACCAGGCCCAAATTAACCAGTCCCTTCCAACATTTTAAATGTCTGGAGTGTTCTAGGTTATATTATTCTCCCCTGCCTCAGAGCCATCTTTAATTACCCCTTCAAACTACAGGTTTTCATTATTTGTGAAAGCAGCTAATAAGCAATTTCTATTCAGAGATCAACAGTGATTTAATTTTTTTTCTTTGAGACAGGGGTCTCACTCTGTTACCCAGGCTGGAGTGCAGGGTTCCAATCAAAGCTCACTGCAGCCTTGAACTTCTGGGCTCAAGTGATCCTCCTGGCTCAGACTCCTAAGTAGCTGGTATTACAGGTGTTAGCCTCTGTGCTTGGCTCAAGATATTTTTTTTTAAGTAAATTTTTAATACAGCCTCTGGTTATAGCAGCATCTGCAGAGATGAACTGGGTCAGTAAAGATTTCTGAAAGGGTGTAATATCAATATAATGTGAGACTGTCTCTCTTTCACATATATCCATGAATATGATGTTTTTGGCTACACATACTGTATCACATTAGCCAAACATTTTGGTAGTACCTGCCCTGGATGGGCCATGAACTAAAACAGCAGGAAGACTGCTAACATCACTCAGACACTTTCAGTGGCATTGAAGAGATGAAGTGTGCATAGCTTATCCACACAACCCTAAAGCCCAAGCCATCGTTCAATTAGTCTACCCAAACTACACTTTAGTATGGTGGTAGATAATATTCTGATAAAAGTAAAACAGAAAGGAGAGTTTAATTCCTTCTTTCTTACCTTCTAATAAATCAGAGGCTGAGCCTAAGCAATATTCCATCACCAACTATAAGAGATTAAAATAATATTCAGAATAATGAAAGTTAATTAAAAAACTGCTGAAACCAACTAACCAACCAACCAAGGAACTAAGAATACTAGGTGAATAAATATTCTGATCTACCTCAACTTGGACTGAATTTTCGTCATCTGGCACTAATTGATTTTTATAATTTTTATCATCTCACTTTTTATTATTTCTTGCTTGAAATTGGCCTAAAGATTATTGGGGGACTAGATATAGAAATATTTACTATAAATGGTGAAGCCCAGATTGCCAATTTATTTATTAACTCCTTCACTACTGTATTTCAAAAAGGATTCAGGTGACTATGTTGTACTATAAATTTGTAACTCAGAAAGTGGCAAACAAATACATGAGCCAGTAAAATCTATATTGGGGTTATACCAGTTACATAAAATAAACCAGTAAGTAGTAAATTCCTTTTTCTCACACTTTAAAAAGTTTTAAACTAGAAACAGATATAATTTTGAACTGAATCTGAAGATGTAGCCTGCTATGTATCATTACATTACCTTGAATCCCTGAGATATATGTGTTATTTAAATTTAGATCTTAAAATATTTCCAGAATAATACTATAATACTATTGATAGGCTGGGTGCAGCAGCTCACGCCTGTAATCCCAGCACTTTGGGAGGCTGAGGCAGGCGGATCACCTGAGGTCAGGAGTTCAAGACTAGCCTAGTCAACATGGTGAAATCCCATCTCTACTAAAAATACCAAAAATTAGCTTCGTGTGGTGGCTTGCACCTGTAGTCCCAGCTACTTGGGAGGCTAAGGCCGGAGAATCGCTGGAACTCAAGAAGTGGAGGTTACTGATAGTTATTGGGTTTGCAATCTGTGGAGGCTTTCTAAAAGTAAAATGAGAAACCTCTTTCTTTACTCTTTTTTTTTGAGATGGAGTTCACTCTTGTTGCCCAGGTTGGAGTGCAATGGCACAATCTCGGCTCACCGCAACCTCCGCCTCCTGGGTTCAAGTACTTCTCCTGCCTCAGCCTCCCGAGTCGCTGGGACTACAGGCATGCACCACCATGCCTGGCTAATTTTGTATTTTTAGTAGAGACAGGGCTTCTCCATGTTGGTCAGGTTGGTCTCAAACTCCTGACCTCAGGTGGTCTGCCCACCTTGGCCTCCCAAAGTGTTGGGATTACAGACATGAGCCACCGCGCCTGACCTCTTTCTTTACTCTTATCCTAGATTTTTAGGTGTCCAAGACTACTGATTTGTAGTCAAGGTCAAAACTATCATGGCTCAGCAACCAATCTCCACACACATGCAAGCATTCACACTCCTACAAATTATTACTTTGTTATTTAAAAGAATAGTACATGCTTATTATGAAATATAAATTTCCTATAATAAACTAGACAAAACCAATATCAACATATTGGTTCCTTTCATTAAAAAAATTAATGTGAAAATATATTTATATATATTATGTACCTTGCATTACTGAGATAATTTAGAATATGAGAAGTCTAGAAGTTTAAAATTTAGAAACTATTATACTTTTGTAGTTATATATTATAAATATCAATATATCAATATCAATACATAATATGAACATATTAATATTATAAATATAAGTGTACTATCTCTATATTATATGGAATGCAATTAAATTAGATATAACATACTTATAATACTATAATAGTTACATATTACATAAAATTATGTCTTATATGTTATAGTTTTACAGTTATATATTTATGTAGTGTGTACTTTGCATTTCTGGAATAATTTAGAACAATGAAAGGTTTAGAAGTTTAAAAGTTAGAAACCATACCATAGTTTTCTGCTTGACATTAAAAACAAACAGATTCAGAAACATTAAACTTATTTCTTATTAAGAAATGGAAGATTCCACATGAGTAAATGTTATAATGAACACTAGCCTTTATGTGCCCTACTTTTTCTTTAATCAATTTTGATGGAAGCATTTCTAAATTTTATCACATAATTTTCTAATTTTTAAAAGTAACTGAATATGCAGATGTAACCTCCTTAAACCGAGTACATGAAATGTGAATATAGAACTTTAAAATTGAATAGAATGAATATGTTTCTAGCTGCATTAAATTTTTTAAATTACATGTTTAAAAACTCAGCATTTTTGTCACAAATATTTTTTCCCCTATTATTCTGTAACACAAAGGCACCTGAGCTGGTTGTTTGCTCCTGACACTAAACAGCTCTGGCTGCTCTGCCTTTAAATTATTAGGTCTGCTTTCTAGCTCCCCTGACTTTTTCCGTATGGTCAAATTATTCTTGTGACTGCTTGTATGCATGTATCTAACAGCTCAGTTCCTTACAGCTGTTTCTGATTGGTCTATCAGATCAGTTGTAGACAGAAACCAGGTAGCCAAGCTTATTAGCAGTCTATATAATCTAAGAATAAATGAGTGGCTGGGTGCAGTGGCTCAGGCCTGTAATCCCAACAGTTTGGGAGGTCAAGGTGGGTGGACCACCTGAGGTCGGGAGTTTGAGACCAGCCTGACCAACATGGAGAAACCCCGTCTCTACTAAAAATACAAAATTAGCCAGGCATGGTACTCAGGCGGCTGAGAAAGGAGAATCACTGGAACCCAGGAGGTGGAGGTGGAGGTTGCGGTCGGCCGAGATTGCGCCATTGCACTCCAGCCCGGGCAACAAGAGCAAAACTCTGTCTCAAAAA